TGTGTACCATGGAGTCAGGCAACCATTCATAGAGCAAATGGTATAAAAACACAAGCCCAGATAAACTTCTCCTGCTTCAACTTACAAATGCCACGTATTTTCCCAGGGATTAAAAAAGTAACTAATTCAGGTAGCTAGTTAATGATTTTGCAAAAATTCATGCTGAAATAAAAAGTAGAAATTAAAAAGAAAGCTTCATGGATACCTAAAAACAATACAGAACTTATTTTTAAATTAAATAGTAAAGTAAAAACCATCATTTTCCTTAAAACCTTGCAATGGTTCTCTTTTCTAGAGTGAATCTTGTACTGTGTAGCCCTCCTATCAATGTGAGGTTCCTATCTCTTCTGTGGTTACCCTTTGTTCTCTTACTGTTACTGAAAGTGACATGGGATTTTCTACCTAAAGTCTCCTATTTTCTTGATGCACTTTCTGTTGATTCCTCATTATTATTTTTCAAACATGTGCATTTATGGGACAGAAGTTCTCTCCATTTTCTTCATGTGCTGAAGCTGTGGGAACTGAGTTTAAGGGTAACAGATTAATCAATCTTAAAGGTGTAAAATGTTAAGCCACACATATATTAAGGATGTAATATCGGTTTTGTTTGCTTCTCGGATCCAGAGGTATGTGCAAAATGAGGAGCAAAAACAAACATGCCAGTTATGAAAATATTAAAGAGAATTAAAAATATTGAGAGAAAAGGAGTATGTGTAATGTATTGGCCAAAGAACATATTAGAGGCATTAAAAAGAAACCAAGTACAGTATTCACACAGAATCAAAGGGCAAGGGGATCTCAGGAACTTGCCTATCACAAGCTTTGGGAAGAATACTGAAGATATAGTATAGACACCAGGAAGATGAAGATTCCAAGGCTGAAGAATGTCTTCAAAGGAAAGTCACATTCAATGAGTGGGTCTGTTCCATCAGAGAAGTCATGAGAGCTTTGAACACTAAGGACATCTGAGTGGAGCTTCTGGAACCAACTAGAACTCACAGTCTGCCACTGCGTGCCATGGATATTTGACACAGAGCTACAGAATTTAATGTTCATAATTCTGGGTCTCCCTTTGGCTTTATTCCCATATTTCACTCTTCTGTATATCTGGTATCAGAATGAATACCCTGTGCCATTATATTTTGAGGATGTAGAAATATCATTTTGTATATTATACTCATTCATCACAAACAACAGTTTGGAGTCTTAGAACAGGCTTCATACTTGTCTCTTTTTCTTATTCTTTGTAGTAGTGTGATTTGAACCCATGATCTTGGTATTGAGCTATACACCCTGCTGCTGGGTATTTTAGTTTTTTGTTTGTTTGTTTGAAATTGGGTGCTGGTAGAGCAGGAAGCTGACATGATAAGAGTGCTGCTCTGCTTGTGTTTCTTCTTCTGTCTTGAACTTCCAGAGAGCAGTTGTGGAGAGTGAAGACTTTTGATACAGGTTTTAGAGATGGGATAAATTCATTTAGTGTAACACAATGGATATCAAACTTTTGGGGAGGCTGATGGATGGAATGGCATGGTACAGTCCAAAGAAACTGCTCCTAAGTCTCATTATATTGAATGCTCCCTAGCTGATAGATATTTGGAGTGTGATTGAATAATGAGGGTTTTAATTAATCAGTGGATTAAGCCTAAACTAAAGAGAATAGAATTTTATGGAATCATGTGAAGATCAAGGAAAATTAGGCAGTGCCTTTGCAGGAAGTAGGTCCCTGGGTATGTCTCTGTCATTCTTTTTCCCAGTTCCTGATTTCCCAGTTTCTATGAGGTGAAGAATTTTTTTTCCGTTATCCCCTTCTACCACAATGTTTCTCCACTTTCCAAGGCTTAAAAATAATGAAGCCATCAGAGTACTCAATGAAACTGAGCAAATTTAATTCTCTTTGTTAAGTCCATTATGTTAGCATTTTGTCACAGTGAGGAAAAGCTGATAACACTTGTAGCAACATGGCTAAAGATTTAAAATAGAAAAGAAGAATACTAAAAAATACAGAGCCATTGCATCAAGATCTGGCATTCTGTAGACAAAAATGAGAAATGATTCTGAGCCTTGAGTAAGAGAGACGACTGAACTATGGGAGGTATCCATGGGTGCTCAAATCAGATAGTAGGTGCTTCTGTTCTGTTTATAAATCTAAAACTCTATCAGTAAATTGCAACGCATAGGATTGGGTCTAGAATTTTATGCCTAATCTTCAGGGATATTTCGTACTTTCATACTTGCATTTGTAAAAAAGCCATTCATAAAATATTTGGCTGGTTTTGAACTATCCATTAGGTGTACCTTTTATCACTTTGTTATTCATTGATATTACCAGCACTTTTCTTACAAAACAAAACTTCTCATTTGCATGGTTGCAAAGCAGTGCACATTTCTGAGTATGGCTGGACTGATAATATAGGTGTGTCCTTAGGGTTCATGTATCATTCCTTTCTCCTTTATCTCTGTCACTGTTCCCTACCTGCCATGTAATAAAGGATTTTGTTCTGTCATTGTGTTTCTATCTTGAAGTCAAGTGAACTTGGAATGAATCCTCTGCCAATTTAATTCTCTTCTTCAATTTGTGGGTTTCAGCCCTGGAAAAGTTGATTAATGCAATTACAAAGCAGAAGGGGGTAAAGTAAAGGAAGAAAAGAATGTTTCAGAGGAAAAATGTAGTTCTAAAACATCTTAGTCAAGCTTGAATGGAAATCAGTGTTAAAGTGAATAATAGAGAATGGACACTAGCGAAGGAAAGTTTGAAAAGATACGGCAACTCATACACAATCCACCAGTAGATACGGTAAAATGTGTTGATTAAAGAAAAGGAGTAGTATTGCTGAGCAAGTTTGATAGGGCTTTTTTTATTTAAAGAGAAAAAAGAAAGGAAATAAAAAACAAAGCAGTAAAAGGATACAAGTAATACAGAATTTCAAGAAAAAATATAGAGTAAGAAATCACTAGTTAATAGGTTACATATTGTCATCTTAGAAAAAATTGTCCAAGTTATACAATTAAAGCATATAAAGTGGACATTCATACAGTGAGATTGCAGACAGTTCTGTTCAATGATCCAACAAAAGCTCAGTAATATGGTTTTCCATCCTACACACTCAAACATACATGCAGTTATATACCTTAGACCACCTTCCTTTCCTCTCTTTTTTACAATAATAATTACATTTTTTGGGTTTGTTACTCTCATAGTTCTTATTACTTTTTTTTGAAGAGAATAAAACCAAACGTGACTAAACAAAACACAGTCAGTTAGAACAAAAGGGTGGGCATAGTACATGATGCAAAAATAGAATACCAGGTAATCAAAAATGGTTATCATTGTGCCTCTTGCTATTTTTAAAAAGAGTTGCCTATATCATCAGGGATAATAGAATTGACCAAAACAGTACAGAACAAGATCAATAAAACCTATACTGGAGACCTTACAGGATTTCAAAAGAATATAATAGTCAAACCATAATGGCATCATAGTAAATCTTATTGCCTTCAAAGTGGTGCCTATCCCCTCAAACTTGACACTATCAAACAAAATAGAATATAGTAAAATCAGATAGAAAAAAATGAGGGGAGCAATACTGGGGTTCAAATCAGGTTAATAGGGAAAAAAATTTACTATAATACATCCCACTATTTTTAATTGTTTTCTCTTAATTAAAAAATAAGAAAAATGGATTAATTTTAAAAAAGAGGGGAGACTGAGATAAAAGAGGACATTGTAAAAGAGCAACACAGGTCAGAACTGAACAATTTAAGTATCACTGTGTTTCACCACCAGATAATCTAACATAATAGTAGTCACCATAGTGCCTCTTTCCTTCAATTATTTGAGTATAACTTCATATGCTATAGCATCAAGCATATCAAGACAGTGTGCAGCCATTCAAGAGAATGAAAGAATTGCAGGGTATTTAGAACCAGCTAACAGAAAATGAACAATGGTTTCTATATTATGTCTTTGCCTACAAAATTTTTGTTTATATTATCGCATATAGTAAAATATAGTAAGGTACAACATGTTAAAACCAGTGGAAACAGATGTGCAACAGCTTAATGGGACTTCAAAACAAGATGTTATTAAATCAGCACTAGTTTTTATGATGTGTTGTTTTCTTCAAAATAGTTATTCTCACTATCATAGATACTAAAATCGAACAACACAGGTTAAAATCATTGTAATTGATGAGTGAAAACATAATATGGCTTCAAACCAATATGATTGGTTTATTGGTCAGGGTTTTACTAGAGAGAACAGATATAACCTGGAATATACAGAAACAACAAGATTGGCTTACGATAGTCAGTCACAGAGTTCGATGATGGAGTGTGCAGAGGGTGTCTATGCACTGGAGGCCGAAGGGTTCAATCCAAGATCTCTGGAGTTCGCCCTAGTGTCTTGTGCAAATCCACACCAGCAGGCTGATGGGTCCGTGACAGAAGGCCGAAGGCTCTGTGATGAAAAGCTGAAGAGTCTATGCTGGGAAGCTGAAGAGTCTGTTCTGGAAGCCAGGAGGCGAGGTCCAAATTAAAGGCGAAGACTGGAGCTTCTCCCAAGAATGGCACAGATTTGTCCTTTCTCCTCTCCTTTTATACCTTGAGGTGATAACTCACCCTAGGGTGGGTCTTCATCTACATCCTTGGGTGTAGAATTGTTAAACCCATTTAGTTAGCTTCTAACTGTCTCAAGTTGACACAATCAATCAACCATTAGAATCCACCCCTTGTCAATTTGGCAACCAGACACATTTCTTTAAACTAGTTCCAGATACACAAACATGCATATAATTGCACCTAACATGTCATGACTGCCCTTCGTACAAACAGAAACACAATAATTCCCCTACCAAAATACACAATGTAACTTTTCTTTGGTTGATGCTTACTCCTATCAGTTCTTAAGCTTAACATTATAACACAAGTTTAACAATTCCCAAAACACAGCATTATGTCTAACATTATGTTACATTGAAACTGTATTTGGGGAGAAGTAGTAATCATAATCCCCTTTTCTGTAACTGATCACGAGGATGTAGCTGGTATTTAGAACTTCCTTCTTCCACTATCCATTCTGTATTTCCTTGGCCTTCATCAAGCACCTCAGCAGGTCTGGGTTCTTTCCCCAGTGGAGTGACCCACACTTTCATTCCTGAAGGTTCTGGACCACTTGTCACTTTATCTGGATTAGGTTGCTGTAATTTTCCATTAACCTTAATGACCGGGCATGGTAATACTAAACCGCGCCCTAAGGAATCTCCTGCACTCCATGTATATTCTTCCTTTCCTCCATTGTGGAGTAGTAGTCCAACTTCCCCTTGGTAGTCTGGGTCAGTCACCCCTGCCAACACCATGACTCCCTTTTTAGCTTGTTTCCTCAGATGCAAGAGGAGACCAAAATGACCAGGGGGAAGTCTTAGCTTCCAGTTCAATGGTACCATTGTCGTGCTTCCTGGTAAAAGCCTTCTCCATTCTGGAACCAAACAGCAGAACATGAAGTCATGGGAACAGGAAGCAAAATTTTTGCTAGTGGATCACTAGGGGTGATGGTGAGTGGCACCATTCCTTCTTCCACCCCTTGATTCCTGGACCCATGAATCCTGGCTATGGGAGACACAGTGCCATATAATGGACATTGATATACACCCTGTTGAAGTACTTTACCCCAGCCTTGCAAACTATTGCCACCTAGCTGGCATTGTAACTGTGTCTTCAAAAGGCCATTCCATCTTTCTATCAATCCAGCTGTTTCTGGATGGTGAGGGACATGGTAGGACCAGGAAATTCCATGAGCATATGCCCACTGTCTCACTTCTTTAGCTGTGAAATGTGTTCCTTGGTCAGAGGCAATGCTATGTGGAATTCCATGATGGTGGATAAGGCCTTCCGTGAGTCCACGGATGGTAGTCTTGGCAGAAGCATTACGTGCAGCAAAGGCAAAGCCATATCCAGAATAGGTATCTATGCCAGTAAGGAAAAAGTGCAGTCCCTTCCATGATGGAAGTGGTCCAATATAATCAACCTGCCACCAAGTTGCAGGTTGATCACCTTGGGGAATGCTGCCATATCGGGGACTCAGTGTTGGCCTCTGCTGCTGGCATGCTGGGCATTCAGCAGTGGCTGTAGCCAGATCAGCCTTGGTCAGTGGCAGTCCATGTTGCTGAGCCCATGCATGCCCTCCATCCCTGCCACCATGGCCACTCTGTTCATGGGCCCATTGGGCAATGACTGGAGTGGCTGAAGAAGGAGGTTGGCTACTGTCCAGAGAACGAGCCATCTTATCCACTTGATTATTAAAGTTGTCTTCTGCTGATGTTAGGCCTTTTGGTGAGCATTTACATGGGAAATAAATATTTTCATATCCTTTGCCCATATAGAGAGATCTATCCACATACCTCTTCCCCAAATATCTTTGTCACCAATTTTCCAATTACGTTCCTTCCAAGTTCCTGACCATCCGGCTAGACCATTGGCTACAGCCCATGAATCAGTGTACAGTCTCACATCTGGCCATTTGTTTTTCCATGCAAAATGTACTACCAAGTGCACTGCTCAAAGTTCTGCCCACTGTGATGATTTCCCTTCACCACTATCTTTTTTTTAAAATTTTATTTAAGGAGAAAAGGAAAAAAAAAAGCAGAGAAATGGTACAAGTTATACAGATTTACAGAAAAAAAATGAACAGTAGGAAATCACTAGTTAATGGATTACATATTGTCATCTTAAAAATAGTTGTTCAAGTCACAAAATTAAAGCTTGTAAAGTGGACATTCCATCAATGATACTGCAAACAGTTCTGTTCATTGATCCAATAAAACTCTGTGATATCATTTTCTATCTTATACACTTAAATATACATGCAGTTATATAGTTTGGAGCACTTTCTTTTCCTCTCTTTTGTACCATGACTATTACACATTTTGGGTTTCATTGCTCCCACGGTTCTTATTAGTTTTTTGGAAGAGAGTAAAACCAAATGTGACATAACAGAACAGAATCAGTCAAGTCAAAAGGGTGGACATAATAGATAATGTAAAAACATAATACAAGGTGATCAACAATGGTTACCATAATGCCTCCCGCTATCTCTAATAGAATTGCCTATATCATTAGCTATAATACAATTGAACAAAACAGTAAAGAATAAAACCGACAAAACCAAAACATTGGAGACACTGTAGGTCTTCAAAAGTAGATAAAAGTCACCACTATCTTTTAAGGATGTCCCAGAAAGGGGCTGTAATGCTGCAGCTGTCCACTTGCGGGTGGTGCCAGCAAAATGTGCAGAGCCATCCATAAACCAGGCCCTAGTCTTCTTGTCCTCTGATAACTGATCATATAGTTCACCCCACAAGGCTATAGGTGCATGCTGGGAAACTGAAGGCAATATAGCGGGTTATAGGAGCCATAGGTATTTGGGCAACTTTCTCATGTAATTTACTTGTACCTTCCGGGCCTGCTCTGGCTCGATATACCACTTCCATTTAATAATAGACTGTTGCTGGGCACGTCCAACTTTATGACTTGGTGGGCCAGATAATATCCAGGCCATGATAGGCAACTCAGGTTGCATGGTGACCTGGTGTCCCATAGTCAAGCGTTCAGTTTCCACTAGGGCCCAGTAGCAGGCCAACAGCTGTTTTTCAAAGGGAGAGTAGTTGTCTGCAGAAGATGGCAGAGCCTTACTCCAAAATCCTAAAGGCCTCCGCTGTAATTCACCAATGGGGGCCTGCCAGAGACTCCAAACAGCATCTTTGTTTGTTACTGATACCTCGAGCACCATTGGATCTGTGGGATCATATGGCCCCAGTGGAAGGGCAGCCTGTACAGCAGCCTTGACTTGTTGCAAAGCCTTTTCCTGTTCTGAGCCCCACTCAAAATGAGCAGCTTTCTGAGTCACTCGGTAAATGGGGCGGAGTAAAACACCTAAATGAGGAATGTGTTGCCTCCAAAATCCAAATAGGCCCACTAAGCGTTGTGCCTCCTTTTTAGTTGTAGAAGCCAGATGCAACAATTTATCTTCTACCTTAGAAGGGATATCTACGTGCTCCACACCACTGGACTCCTAGAAATTTCACTGAAGTAGAAGAACCTTGAATTTTTGTTGGATTTATTTCCCATCCTCTGGCTCTCAAATGCCTTACTAATGAATCCAGTGCAGTTGCTACCTCCTGCTCACTAGGCCCAATCAGCATAACATCATCAATGTAATGGACCAGTGTGATATCCTGTGGCAGAGAAAAGCGATCAAGATCCCTTCGAACCAAATTATGACATAGGGCTGGCGAGTTAATATACCCCTGAGGTAAGACTGTGAAGGTATATTGCTGGCCTTGCCAGCTAAAAGAAAATTGTTTCTGATGATCCTTATGGATAGGTATGGAGAAAAAGGCATTTGCCAAATCGATAGCTGCATACCAAGTACCAGGAGATGTGTTAATCAGCTCAAGCAAGGAAACCACATCTGGTACTGCAGCTGCAATTGGAGTCACCACCTGATTCAGTTTACGGTAATCCACGGTCATTCTCCAAGACCTGTCTGTCTTCTGCACAGGCCAAATGGGGGAATTGAATGGAGATGTGGTGGGCACCACCACCCCTGCATCCTTTAAGTCCTTGATGGTGGCAGTAATCTCTTGGATCCCTCCAGGAATGCATTACTGTTTCTGGTTTACCATTTTACCAGGCAAAGGCAATTCTAGTGGCTTCCATTTGGCCTTCCCAATGATGATAGTCCTCACATTACAGGTTAGGGAACCAATGTGAGGATTCTGCCTGGTACTAAGTACATCAATCCCAATTATATATTCTGGAACAGGGGAAATAACTACAGGGTGAATCCGAGGACCTATTGGACCCACTGTAAGTCAGACCTTTGCTAGAACTCCATCAATCACCTGGCCTCCATAGGCCCCTACTCTAACAGGAGGGCCACAATGACATTTTGGATCCCCTGGAATCAGTGTTAGTTCAGAACCAGTGTCTAGTAATCCCCGAAATGTCTGATCATTCCCCTTCCTCCAGTGGACAGTCACTCGAGCAAAAGGCCTTAGGTCCCTCTGGGGAAGGATGGGAGAAAGATTAACAGTGTAAATTTTTGGTGCATCAGAGTCCTTCTCCAAGGGGACCTGGCCTCCCCATCATTCGAGGGGTTCTGGGTCTGTAAACTGGCTCAAATCTGGGAACTGGTTGAGGGGCCATGATTCCCTGTTAGCATGATTTGATGTAAGGTTCTGTTCATTTGCCCATAAATTTTTTCGATTATATAAATCTAGTAAAAATTTTGTAGGCTTCCTATCTATTTTACTTCTAGGAACGCCATGGCTAATCAGCCAACGTCAGAGGTCTGCACGTGTTAGATTATTCTGGTTATTGTTCTGCCTTTGTTGTCCATTGCGGTAAGTACGTGGATCCTGCTTTTGGTGATTAAGTGCAGTCACTTGACCTCTGCCACTCCGGGACCCAATCAAGCCCATTGCCCTTAAATGTCCTAATTGAGTAATTGCAGTCTGCACTGTAAGATCTGGCATGCAAAGAAGAGCAATAACAGGGCCATTCAGGGATGTTGGTTCTCCCCTCACAAATCTGTTTCTCAAAGTGCTGGTGAAGGGTATGTTTTCTGGATCATCCCTATGTGGGGGATTAGGTTTAACTTGACAGATCCACTCCAGCATTCCCATTACCCAGAGTCTCTGAATCCCCTCATCAATAGTAAACCATGGAATATCAGGCATCTCTAACTCAGTCACAGTGGGCCATCTTTTGATCCATATCTCTGCCCACCATCCAAATAAACTATTAACACCTTTCTTCACTCCACGAGCTATGACATTAAATTCAGAATCCCTACTTAATGGGCCCATATCAACAAATTCAGCCTGATCCAGATGTATGTTTTTGCCACCATTATCCCACACTCGTAAAATCCAGACCCATGCTTGCTTATCAGGCCTCTGCCTATAAGAGTTGGAAAACTCAAGAAGCTCTTTGGGAGTATAGTGAATCTCTTCATGGGTCACAGTATGTATCTCTCCTTTAGGCGCTTTCTGTGATTTGAGCCTGGTTATTGGCCTGGAGGCAAAAACGGGTATTAAGGGTGGGTCCTGAGGAGCAGCAGCATAATCCCTTTTAGTCAACATAGCATTAGCTTCCCCAAGTATGCTAGGAGATTCCAACACAGCAGCCTGTGGAGGTGGTGACACCTCTGCCATTTCAGGTGAGGAAATCTCTCCCTCAGGCAAAATAACTTCATTAGCATCCAGAAATTCAGTGTCTTCTATTTCCTCAGAATCCTCCCATACATCTCCATCCCAATTCATGGGATCCCACTCTTTTCCAACCAATGCCCTCACCTTTGCCTCTGATACCCTTCGAGGCTGAGCATTAAATTTACATTGTAGTTCAGCCAATTGAATTATGAGGGACTGTGTCTGGGTTTCTGCAATCTCAGCCTTGCGGCTAAAGGAGAGGAGATTTTCACTCATGACATACTGAGAAACTTTTAAATTTCTTATCTGTTTCTGGAGATGTGATTTTTCATTCATTAGTTTGTCCAAAGGGGCTAAGACCAGCCATCCAGCATCATTATATTGTCTACTGTGCCAAAGATATTCAAAATTGTTTTGTACAGAGTCACTAAATTTTTGACATCTCACAATTGGTGAATTAGGATAATCAAATGGATCTATGAGATGTATTAGTTTAAACAGTTCATGCCAAGGATTATCAGTATATTCCACAGAAGTAGAAGCAGAGACGTTGGTGTCTTCAGGTCTCACCAAATTGTAGAGCCAACTCCAGGAAGCTCTAACACCATTAAAGAATGCCATTGTTATAATTCTGTTTCTCTAGGACCACTCCCAGTACCAAAATCTGTATCGGTCAGGGTTTTACTAGAGAGAACAGATATAACCCAGAATATACAGAAACAACAAGATTGGCTTACGATAGTCAGTCACAGAGTCCGATGATGGAGTGTTCAGAGGGTGTCTATGCACTGGATGCCAAAGGGTTCAATCCAAGATCTCTGGAGTTCACCCTAGTGTCTTGTGCAAGTCCACACCAGCAGGCTGATGGGTCCATGACAGAAGGCCGAAGGCTCTGTGATGAAAAGCTGAAGAGTCTATGCTGGGAAGCTGAAGAGTCTGTACTGGAAGCCAGGAGGCGAGGTCCAAACTAAAGGCGAAGACTGGAGCTTCTCCCAAGAATGGCATAGATTTGTCCTTCCTCCTCTCCTTTTATACCTTGAGGTGATAACTCACCCTAGGGTGGGTCTTCATCTACATCCTTGGGTGTAGAATTGTTAAACCCATTTAGTTAGCTTCTAACTGTCTCAAGTTGACACAATCAATCAACCACTAGAATTGGGAATCAGGATTACCACATAATTTTGTGTATTCGTTTCATTTCTTACACTAGGGAAAGTATTTGGTATTTGTACATGTGAGTTTGATTTATTTCACTTGTGAGTATGGTCTCAAGCTGCTTCCATTTATTTATAAATATCTCAATGTGATCATTCTTTATAGCTGAGTAGTACTCCATTGTATAAAAATACCACAAATTTTTTATTCATTCTTCAGTTGATGGACACTTAGGTTGTTTCCAAGATCTGGGTATTAGAAATTGTGCTGCTATAAACATGGGTGCACATATATCATGGTGGTATGATGCTTTCAGTTCCTCTGGGAATTTGCCTAGAAGTGGTATAGCTGGGTCTAATGGGGCTTCCAGTCCCTGCCTTCTGAGAAATCTCCAGAATGACCTCCACAATGGTTGCACTAGTCTACACTCCTACCAAAAGTGCAGGAGAGTTCCTTTTTCCTCAAAGCCTCTCCAGCATTTGTTGTTGATCGTTTTCTTGATCTTGGCCATTCTTTCAGGAGTGAGATGAAATCTCAGTGGGGTTTTAATTTGCATTTCTCTAATGACTAATGATGATGGACATTATTTAATATATTTATTTGCTGTTTGTATTTCTTCATCTGAAAATTGTTTATTCATCTCAGATACCTACTTTTGAATTGGGTCTTTGAATTTGGGGGTCTGTTTTTAATTCTTTATATGTTTTAGACAGAAGACCTTTGTCTGAGGGGCAGTTAATTAAAAATTTTTCCCAGTGTGTGGGGTTTCTTTTCACTATGTTGGAGATTTATTTTGATGTGCAGAAACTTTTTAATAAGAGGTGATCCCAATTATTGACTCTAAGAAGTATTTCCCATGCGGTTTTAGTCCTATTCATGAATTCTCTGCCTACCCCTATGTCTTCAAGGCTTTTACCTAATTTGTCTTCTAATAGGTTTAGTATTTCTGTTTTAATATTGAGATCTTTGATCCATTTAGATTTTATTTTAGTACATGGTGATAGGCATGGATCTAGTTTTAGTTTTCGACATATGGAGAGCCAGTTTTTTCCAACACCATTTGTTAAAGAGACTGTCATTCTTTCAATGAGCATGTTTGGCCCCTTTATCAAAGATAAGGTGGTTTAGTGTGTTTGTAGTTGTGGTCTTATCTTCTAATCTATTCCACTGATCTTCAGCTGTTTTGGTTCCAGTACCATGTTGATTTTACTACGGGTTGCTTTGTCGTATAACTTCAAGTCAGGGATTGTGACAACTCCTGCCTTGCCTTTGCTGCTTAGAATTGTCCTTTCTATTCTAGGTCTCTTCTCACCCCAGATGAATTTTAGGAGTGATTTCTCGAGTTCTATGAGGTATGTTGATAGTTTTTTTAAAATCGGGATTGCATTAAACCTGTATAAATTTTTGGGAGACTGACCATTTTCACAATATTTATTCTTCCTATCCATGAGCAAGGGATGTCTTTCCATTTTCTGAGACCATCTTCAATTTCATTTTTCAGTGTACTATAATTTTCCCTGTATATGTCTTTCACTTCTCTAGTGAGAGTAATTTCTAAATATTTCACTTTTTTGGTTGCTACTGTGAAGGATGTTGCTTCTCTTATTTCTCTATCTGTGACTTGTTGTTAGTGTATTAGGAATACTATTGATTTCTGAGTATTGATTTTATATCCAGCTAAATTACTGAATTTATTGATTATATCTAGGAGTCTTTCAATGGAGCTTTGGGGATATAGTGTGTCATGTCATCTGCAAATAATGGTAGCTTAACTTCTTATTTTCCTATATTTATGCCTTTTATTTATCTCTCTTGTTTAATTGCTCTGGCTAGTATTTCCTATACTGTATTAAATAGGAGCAGTGATATGGGACATCCTTGTCTTATTCTCTCCAAAAAATTAATAAAAACTGTGGGAGTAATAAAACCCAAAAAGTGTAATTGCTATTGTAAAAGAAGAGAGGAAAGGAAGGTGGACTAAGGGATATAACCACAGGTATGTTTGAATGTGTAGGATGGAAAACCATATTACTGAGCTTTTGTTGGATCATTGAATGGAACTGTCTCCAATATCCCTGTATGAATGTCCACTTCACGTGCTTTAATTTTATAATTTGGACAACTGTTTCTAAGATGACAATATTTAGCCTATTAACTAGTGATTTCTTACTGTTTATTTTTTTCTTGATATTATGTATTAATTGTATCCTTTTGTTGCTTTGTTTTTTATGTCCTTTCTTTTTTCTCTTTAAATAAAAAAAAATAAACTCCCTGCTGCTACACCTCATATATCTAAAAAAAGAAGAGCAAGTCAAGCCCAAAGCCAAAAGAAGGGAGGAAATTATAAAGATTGGAGCAGAAATCAATGCAATAGAGACTGAGAAATTAATACAAAAATCAGTGAATTAAAAAGTTGGCTTTTTGAAGGAATAAATAAAAGTAATAAGCCACTAGCCAACCTATTAAACAAAGGAAATAAAAAAAATTAGTCATGCAATAAGGAATCAAAAGAGTGAAATCAATATACACCCTGTGGAAATACAGAAGATCATCAATACCTATTTCAAAAATTTCTACTCTCATAGGCTTGATAACACAGAAAAAAATGAACAGATTCCTAAAAATCTATTAGTAACCCAATTTTAATTCATGAAATTGAAATTATAATTAAAAAACAAAGAAAAGATCAGGTCTTGATGGATTCATTGCGGGATTCTACAAGATATTCAAACAGACTTAATGCAGACACTCCTCAATATCTTCAATGAAATTGAAATTGAAATGAAAGCAATTCTTCCTAAATCATTTCTGGATGCAAGTACTAATTTAATACAAAAACCAGAAACAGATCTAACTAAAAAGACAGGCCCATCTCCCTAATGAACACAGATGCAAAAATTCTCAATAATATATTGGCAAACCATGCAGCAAATCATCAAAAAGATTATACATCACAACCAAGTGGGATTCACCCCAGGAATGCAGGGATGGTTCAACATATACAAATCAATAAATGTAATGCACTACATCAAGAGAGACCAAAATAAGAATGACACGATCATTTCTATAAATTTTGAAAAAGCTTTTAACAAGGTACAACACTTATTTGTGGGATAAAAACCTTACAGAAAATCAAAATAGATAGTTTTTGCCTTAATATGTTAAAAAATCTATCATATAAACAACAACCAGCATCATATTAAATGGCCAAACCTCAAAGTCTTTACTTTAAAATCAGAAATCAGATAAGATGCCCATTGTTACCACTCCTATTCAATATATTTCTGGAAATACTAGCTAGAGCAATTAGACAAGACAGAGAAATAAAAATAGTAAGGATAGGAAACGAAGAATGTAGATTATCATTATTTGCAGATGACATGATACTCTAGATAGAAGACTCAAAAAATTCCCTTGAAAGAATCCTAGGTATAATAAATAAATTCAATAATATAGCTAGATTCAAAGTCAACACTGAAAAATCAATAGTATTCCTATATACACAAAAAATGAACTCATTAAGAGAGAAATATGTGAAGTCACGTCCTTCACAGTAGCATCCAAAATTATTTAATACTTAGGAATCAGTCTAGCAAAAGAACCAAAAATATATTCAGGGGAAATTATAATACCCTGAAAAAGAAATGGAAGAGAACCTCAGAAAATGGAAAAACATTCCTTGTTCATGGAATTGGAAAAACAAATATTGTGGAAATTGTCATCCTCCCAAAATTTCTAGACAGATTTAATGCAATCCCAATCAAACTACCACTAGTACATCCCACAGATTTAGAGAAATCATTCCTGAAATTCATCTGAAACAAAAAAGACCTAGAGTAGCAAAGGCAATACTGAGCAACAAAAGCAAAGCAGGAGGAATCATTACCCTTGACTTGAAGCTATACCACAAAGTTACTTTAACAAAATCATCATGATACTGGAATAAAAACAGACCTAAAGATCAGTGGAATAGACTAAAAGTACAACTACAACTACAAACATATCCACCTTATCTTTGATAAAGGGGCCAAATATGTTCACTGGAGTAAAGCTATTATCTTTAAAATATGGTGCTGGAAAAAGTGGCTCTTCATATGACAAAAACAAGTAATAGAACTATTCCTATCACCATGTACCAAACTAAAGTCAAAATGGATCAAAGATCTAAATATTAAAATAGAAACCCTAAATATGCTGGAAGACAAATTAGGTAGAAAATTTGAAGACATGGGTGTAGGTAGAGAATTCATGAACAAAAATCAAGCTGCACTGAATTGCTTCCCAAAGCCAATAACTGGGATCTCATCATATTAAAAATTTTTACATGTCTAAATAAATCTCCCACAGAGTAAAAAGGAATGTGGGAATTTCAAAATTCATAAATTTTGAAAAACATCTTATTCAACTCTTATTCAAAGGACTTCTGTCTAGAACATATAGACATGTTTTTTAAAAAATCAGACCCC